AGGAGTCCGCTCCCTATAATCGAACCCGGAGCGTCCGCGCGAGAGCCAAGCGCGGCAACTATTCGGACACGCATTCGCTCTTTAACGAGCATGGCAATATCACTGATAATGTTACAAAACATCTCTGGGAGAAAAAGAAAGGTCGCTTTGGGGAGGAGGTCAGACCTTGGCGCCCCACGCGGTTAACTTTAGAGCTACACGAATGGGGACTCAGCGATCTGCTGACATGATCGATTGCGGCGTCAGCGATCGGTTGGAGTTCGTGTTCTCCGGTAAGGGGCAGGAGGGGCTCTTTTGTTACCAGTCCGGCTTTCATGAACAATCCAGCATGCACGGTCCTCAGCTCAGCACAAAAGCCGAAGTGGGTCAAGCTCGCATCCTTTGACGACTGTTTTCGGGAGAGACCCTGCACTTAACGTCACTTCGTTTATTATTTGTATTTTTACATTACACTGCCCAAAATGGTCTGTGGACAGGTGTACAGGCCTTGTGTTGGGTAAACACCGAGGTGTGGGAACAACAAACGCGACAAAGCGCCTCGCCACTAGTGCCATCGCTAATTATCACGTCCTTCGGCGCACCTTAGACGCATAGTTTAACTAGAATGCATATTCCCTATATGGGCAGTTCACTATAAACGAACTTGGGATGCGAATATGAGTGAATGGATAACAAAAACAACCTAGATAATAGCCACGGCCATGGTCGCACCTTCAAGTAGGTTGCGTTCAGAAAGGCACTCAACGTGGGGAAACGCTTTGTTGGCATTTTGAGTGGTCATCCAGCTCGTAGTTCATTTCCTGTCCTGTTCTCTGCTTAACAATGATCGTTTATAGATAGTGTTCGCGAAAGCAATAAAAGCCAAACTCACACGAAAAAAAAAATCTTCGACGTTTTGCAGTAGTGTTGTCAAAGGCGCATTTGGGAAGGCGAGGAGAAACCTACATTGTGCGAGGTTTGGGTTGAAATACGAATCGAAATCTGCAAAAAACCGATGTTCTCACGAGCTCAATCAAATCACCGTAGCTAATCGGAGCTAGTACCAGGATTTGGTTGCTCGAAAGAATGTTCGTTTGCTCGTGCGTCGCCCACGCCACTTCATACCGAAAAACTTGGAAAATGGTGGAATGTCAAAAATATAGTTGAGATAATGAGTACAAGATACTCAGAAATGTAATAAAGATAGACTATCAAATACTCTCGATCAAAAGTATTTGCAAGATACCAAGATACTTAAAAAAGTATTTTCAATACAGTATCTTGATAGAGTATTTGAGATAGGCCTAAGTCTGGTTTATACTCCACAAATTTTGCTTACCCTCCAAGTGACGAAGGTTTCGTGCCACTTTGCTTGAAAAACAAATTTTCAATGGCAAATCGCGCTACATGAAGACGGCATGATTACATCTAAAGTTAACAGCTCACTAAAGTACATGGGTGCCGCGTACGAAACTTTAGGCATTCTTTCTCCGAAGTAACTGCACCGCCTACTGCAAAACCCTTAGCGAAACCCATATGTTCGAAAATAACGAAATTAGCGAAAAATAAAGGCACACGATTACCTCTCTTTTCTTGATGCCAAAATTGAAGTCTTTACGTTTCGCGATCTTTAGTCGCCGCGAATAGGTTCCTATGCCTAATACGCGAATAATTATAATTGCAATAACAAAACGTTTTACGTATGCAGCGTTTAAAACGACAAGGACGATGAAGCGTGCGATTCTCTCAAAGACGCATACGGCCGTTGGAGTTACAGACAATAGTCAATCGGCAGGGTGAGTACACGAAAGTTTATCAATCGTGGCACCATTCGTGAGTTCCAGATACACAGTGTGGGGATCCTTGCTGAGAGCCAACGACTGCAATACGTAACTCCGGACGTGCACGCACATCGACGTGGTTGTTGGGACCACGACACTCCACTCAATGATGTGCCTGGCTTTCACAAGTTGTTCGACTACTACAAGGCACCGCTTTTCGTCGGCAATGTACTCCAGAATAGTATGCAGTGGCACCCAAACTGAAACAAATAACCGCATCACAAAAGCAACCACAGTAGCAACATTGTATAAGCATCCAGCTTGTCATTGCTTGCCTTCGCTTGCTTCTACTCTCATTGAACGATACAATATTTTCGAAAAGAACAAGCATTGAAAACGTATATAGCGCAGTTTAGCCAAAAACAGGCTTTCATCGTCGTGAGGATCCATTTTTCAAAGTGCGCCGAGAGCGGCCGACGTGCGGCGGTATCCACACTAGCAGCGTTTCCAACATCGGCCGCTCAGTGGCGACTCTGCTCGATCTCGAGGCGAATACCGTTTTAAATAGGTGCAGCACCCTCCACCAGTCCGGAGAGATAATTTGGGAATAGGCTCTGAAGAACCATGTCTTCTCAAAACATCCTGCGGTATCGTAGTCCTGAATAAACTGTCACCTACAGCTGACTAGTACGGGCAAATTTGAACACGAGTGCTCATCACAGCTTGGCTGGGATATGCACTCAGTAAAAAATCTAGTCTTAGTGGTAGGCCCTCACAGCACTTTTGTTCATTCTGTTCCTTTCGGTGACCCAGGGTGGGCGACATGGTAAATGCAGAGCCACGGACTTGCTTTCAGGGAGGTGTTGAGTAGAAGCTGACAAAGGGTACAAAATATATATTGTACTTCCACTGAAAGGGGTGGAAAAAACAAGAGCCCCCCCCCCCCCCCCCCTTCCATCCTGCCCACGCACAGGCACAAGCAAAAGCTTAATATGTGCTATTGGACCCTTCTCTGATGGGGAAACCCAATATTTCAGGATTGTACTGTCGTTCAAACCTATTTATAGCGTGTAACCTATATATTAAAAGGTCTAAAAAAAATTGTCCAATTTCTTTTTGTCAAGACGGCATTGCTCCGTTTTATTTTTGTTTTTTTTTTATTCTTGGACGGCGAGAAACATAAATTATTTTGATGAATTACCCTAAACATTTCCCGTGTCTCTACCAACCTCGGATAATAACTCAACTCACTGTTACTAAAATACCTATTCATTTGGGAACAGCCATGACACAGCTTCTAGCGCATATTTCGTGTTATCCTATTATTAGCGACGGAAGGACCCAGAAATGGTGGTCTTTATTAGATCACTGACTAAGTAAAACCAACGAGGATTCAGAGCTGGTCCCCTGATTGTTAGGTTTGCGGCGCCATGACACCACCAACATTCACTTTATAATAAATTAAAATTATTTCGGAAGCAGTACACCCAAATTTCAACAGCCAGAAACACGAAACCACAATAGGAGATCAGAAACGACAAGTAAAATTTCTACACCCGTTTCTCCGTGGAACGTTCACTGAAAACAAGTTTCGAAATAATTATTGCTCACCTGATAAAAAATAATAACTCAGCGAAACGAATTCTAGGTTTCCTCGTATATCTGAATTTTCTACACCACGCTCACCTTATTTATCCTGAAGAAGACAGCATTATTTAAGAGAACACTTGCGATCGGCAAAACTGACGGAATGAGAATGTCAAGTGCATCTTGACACAACATGACGGTTGTTATACAACGCAAGATCAAGACCTGGCTTCACTACAGATCCCCTCGTTGAATAAAATACTCAGTAGAAAATATATCTAAGCTAGGAACATAGATGTCCACCATCTCTCCATCAACGACCGATATGATTTATTAGACCCATACAAAAAACTAAATATGTTTGATGCGCATTGACTATGGCCAAAGTCCTTTGAGAACTATGTTTATTATAGTGAAATCAGTTATTTACATATATGAATATCTCACAATGGAGAAACAAAATTATGCATCTTATTCACTAAAGCGATAATTACAAACGCCTGGCAGCCTTTACCGTCATCAAGGGACCTTGTTGCGTAAATACGGTTTATCAAAATAGTTCTTGTGACGTGGGGATACTATTAAAAGGCCATTTGTTTAAATGCTGGGTCCATTGGGTGTTGAAAAAAAAATGTACCCAAACAAAGCTCTAAGATATATTTGCAATTTGATCGCAAAACTTTAGGCAAGCTAAAAGAAAAAGTTCTTTGATTGCAAATACCGAGGGTGTTTGCAATTGAAAAATATGTGTTTTGTTCGTTTAAAATAATCTTCAATCTAATTAAACTTTCTTTCAACTTTCACTTCAACACTATTCAAATGTTGAAAGACAAGCAGTCCTAGATTTTTTGGAACGTATCAAAGAACGCGAGAAAGACAGGAATAAAGAAGAACAAAGGGCACCAACGGCGTGCATTTGTTTGTTTGTATTTGTATGCCCTCGTGTTTTTGTTTGTTTAATGCGTTTAATGCATCTAAAATCATAAGAAAATTATTTACTGCTAACGCTTAAATTCTAACTATGTTGGTGTTTATCAAAACGAAAAAAAAAATTGTGTTATAAAGAAAGCTGTCCTGCGACCGCAGACTGAAGTGTAAAGTCAAACGCCAACATGTACTCTAAAAAAATAATTTTAGAGTTTTTTTTTCTGCAGAAGGCAGAGACAACGAGTCATGGCGAACAGCACACGAATCTCAGCGAATTGCGATTAGGCCCCCAAGAATGAGAAGTGCACAGGTACAACGTATAAAACGTTATACTTGCTCTTGCCCCTTCGCAAATTCCATTTTTTTCTTCTTTTTTTTCTCAGATCTAAAGTAGGTGACAGGTTAAGTGCGAAGAGGAAGTTTCTCGCAGAGAGCCTCCAGACTTTCCACTTAAGCAGAGCGAACGTTGAAATAAAGGCGAGAAAAAAACTCGCTTCCTCTCTAGCTCGCGCTCGCTCTGTCAAGGTGAAAATGACATTGCTCATTTTCACCGACTGTAGCCGTGTTTTGAAGTTCGTTATCCGCGGTGATCTTTCTGCTATTTGTCATTAAGGAATTCGTGTGGGTTTTGAGGAAAAATAGGTCTCACATAATTTATTATAACTTGCGCTTTGCCGGTGATCACTTGGGTGACATTTCAGATGTTCGCGCTTTTTTTCATTGCAGTGTGCAAGCTCTTGGAGCAAGGTCTTCTCGCTCTGATCGGTCCGCGACATCCGACAACTGCGTCGCTGGCAAAAACTGCTTGTGCCCGGCACCGAGTCCCCCACATCTATCTGCATCGTGAGCTACTCGGTCGCGGCCCTCCCCCTGACTCGGCTTCCTTCACTGTGACGCCTAGCCCCGAGGAGCTGGGCTTGGCCATTAGAGATCTCGTCGTGGCCCAGCAATGGAGACACTTTACTCTCGTGTACGAAAAACCAGAAGGTAAGCACTTCCGTAAACAACTTCTAGAGTTCCCTCTACAAGAAAAAGGAAGAGCTTGAAAACGTACTACCGACGTTTGTGATCGTAAACACAATTCACCAGTGGTGCAACGAGGTCTAAAATACACGGGCACGCGCAGGACCATAACGCTTATATTCACTGACAGAACTCGACGGGCAGGAAGTGCCCGTCTAACGCCCGGCCACCAGCACACGTTATGTGCTTTCCATTGTGGATTGGCTTGGTGTGCACGCTCGAGGTTCATGAAACGCCAAAGCGCTGTCGAAGCTAGAGGGCTCGCTAGTGATGCAAAGCTATCGATAAATTGACTATCGATACTATCGATAGTTTTTCGATCGTTTTTCGATAGTCGACTATCGATAGTACTATCGATAGTCTGATTTCAGCCGACTATCGGTACTATCGATAGCACTATCGGTAGTCTTGCACTTCTATGGTAAGTGCTTGGGCTAGTTGGTGTACTATTTGAAAAAAAATAAAGTGACAAAAATAGAAAAGGAATCGACGCAAACTTCTAGCAAACTCCCTTTCTATTCTCCCCTCCTCCTCCTCAAGAGCTGCGCTCTAATTCGGCGTTACAGAGAATTGTAAATGTCTTTTATTTTTTTGTTCTTTCCGGTAACTTTTTATGGCATAAATATTATGAGAGTTCTTGCACATTATTATTCGTCGTGATGTGGAGGCACGCCTTCTAATTCCACGGCCTTACCATCCGCGTACTTCATCACTGCCTCTGCACTGACCATTTATCGCCGGCCTCTCTAAGCAAAACTCTGCGACCACCACGCTCGCCCTGCCGGCTAGGCAAGTAGACGTTGGCACACCCACCACGGCAACACTCGCCGTCCCTGGCATCACCTCGACTGCCGTATGTATCTGTGTAGCGTGATTCTGGCCTGGCACGATCCCGTGCCGCCACAACGCAACGTGAAGGGCCTGTCGCATCAGGCCACGCTTGTACATGGCAAAGGAAGGTGCACCGGACTGTTCATAAAAAAATACACCGCTCACCAACCAGGGTCTTGTTCCTGCTAAGTCTGACAGCTTATAGTCGCACTGCGCTTGGTGTATCAGCTCCAGGAATGTTTATGCATTGAGCCCGAAGCTTGCCGCCATCTCTCATGGAGCCACAAATTACTCACTTTGAGGTGCAAACGTTCTTACACCACCTCTAACTAACAACACCATCGGAATCATGTGACTGCGCTGTATGCTCACGCACCGCTTGATTACGCCTGGCCTCAGCCTCAAATTTATTCTGCGGGGTTGCCGATCAATATTTTCTTTATCCACCGATTTTTGCCACGCCGTTCCGCTCGCAGCTAAAGGAATTGTTCTTCACCCTGCTTCATGTTGGCCTGCAGGCGACGGCAGTGAAGGGAGCTCTATGCAGCGGTCAGTTGGTTCAGAGTTGCTGCTGCCGACAATAACATCCACGTTAAATCAAGTTCAGACCAGTTGACACATTTGCGTCGATTGCGCCCACAGGAAACTAAGTGAAAGCAAACACCGGGACACCGATATAACCATGGCTCAAGCTTGCTTTAAAAAGCTACCTCTTGCACTGCTTGCCATATTAGGAACGCGAACGGTTCACAATATCAGCCTGTGCATGCTGTCCTTTCCGTCGTTCTAAACCCAACCGACACAAATGACTGAATCATGTTAAACTCGTTACTTCGAGCCCGAAGCCACGAAAAAATAAACAGAACGTCGTCGGACTCGATCGCACCGTTCCTGACGTCTACTACACTGAACACCCTTCAACCGAAAATCTTGTGGACCTTTTGCGACTTTCCCGCAGTACTCAGTTTCAATTTATGATAGACCACCGTGGACGCTAAGTGCCATCCTGCAGTCAACACAGAGCTGTGAACGTCTCACGTGACTGCGTTCCCCGCGTTTCGCTGCGGCTCTCTTGAAGTTCGTGTGACAGTCACACAGCATTCGACGGGCTCTGATAGTTCGTAGCGTCCGCTGTCAACCACCGTAAGGTGAAGCGGTCTGTAGTACACCTTTTTAGCACTTATCATCCTGGCGAAAAATGACAGCACAATGCGCTCACACATGCATACGTGGCTTGTTGTACTCCGCAGAAAGCATGCAGTTACTCCGCATGCTGAAAATGCGTTCTACAGACCAGTACACAAACATCGCAGCGTTCAGTAACGCAACGTTCTGGAGTTTTCTGTAGATTTATTCCTTCGCTCCGCAACACTCTCTGTGACCCGGTACAAGATCAGGAACTCTATGTTCGTCGGCTTCATTTCCAGGCGTTGTGGTGATGTCAGAACGCATAGCGCTCATTGGCTATGATTGAAGGATAGTGGGTCTACCTCAAGGAAGCTTGCTTTGTGGTCTACCCACTATCGTACAATCGGACCTTGATATTATGATGGCACCAAACTCCTGCAAAAGAAGCAAATGACCTTGATCATCGCAGAGATAAGGCTAACCGCGCGCATGCGCATTAACGGGGTTTATGTTGCGGAATGTGCAGTGGACGGCCGAGAAAAAAATTCCGATTGAAATGGTCTAAAAAAAATTAATGCTTGAGTTGTTCCAACCCTCATCCCCTCCCCTTCTGCCATTTTATTCCCACGATATTCACGAAGAAGCTGTGAAATCTCCACTCCCCCCCCCTCTTTGTTTGTGTTCCTAAGTTTCTCCGTTCCGGGCATCTGCTAATTTCACGCATGCAGGACCTTCCACAAATGTGTCCTCCGTCAACCCCACATGTTTTCCAGAGAAATTGATACGGTTCACTCAGTCGCACCGACAATGCTTGGTAAAGCTCGTAATCGCTCGTTAGCGACGTAACGGCGTGTTTGTTTGGACAGATGTCACTACCAGATCTATTCTACCGAGCCCCCATTCTTTACCAGAGTTCGATTCAGTTTATATAGCAGTTCCACAAGGGAATTTTTATAGCCATGCATTACATAAACGTGGGTTATAAACACATAATACAAAGTTATTGTAATAAATAAAATTATAATTATGAAATCGTAAATCATAAATGTCCGTAACGATAAGATATATTTGCTGGGACATTTATTTTTAGTGTCATAAGGGGCACGAAATGCAGTATTTACGAGCGATTGTTTACATTTCTTGAAAGACGCCAACAGTTGTCCCAGGACTGAAGGAGCTGTATTTTATAAATGTTGGAGAAACTGAATTGGTGTGTCATATGACCAGGGAGGGGTGAGGGGGAAGAGGCAAGTTAGGAGAGAGCGGCCAGGGAAGGCACTGGAAGGGGGAGGGATACAGAGGGGGAGGGAGGAGAGGAAATACATTGGGACGGTGGAGAGGGCACTCAAGGAGATGGACTGGGAGGGGAAGAATGGATGGGGAGCGGGAATTGGTGTGTCCCGTGACGTCCCTTTTCCCCGCTAAATCTAGTGCAGAGGAAGAAGTAGGGAATTAGAGGTACGTGTGGAGGAAGAGTAATATGAGAAGGGCACCCCAGGACGCGGGTATTGATGGTTTGAGGAATGGAGAAGATCGATTGAGAGAAGAAAATGGTGTGTCACGTGACGTGTACGCATTTGCCCGCTACAGTTATCGGAGAAAGTAAATTGTTTTATAGGTCACGTAAAAGCAGGTCTCGTGAGGTCGATTTCCAATGCTAAATTTAGCGGGGAAACTGGATTGGTCTTTAGGTTATGTGACCCCAATTGTCCCTATAAATTTTGCTGGGAAACAAATTTGGTGCTCAGGTCACGTGACGTTGATTTCCCGTCTAAGCATACCAGCGAAACTGGGTTGGTTTTATATCACAAGACATGATTGAGTTCCGCTAAATTTAGTGGGAAAACTGCATTGACGTATAGGTCACGTGACAATAATTTCCACACTTCGTGTAGAAGTGAAGCGACTTCTATTTTCCCGTTATATCTAGCGGAAAAAGCCCGTACGAGTGGAAGAGTCGACGGACGGACACAATTTTCAGATTGAGAAATCACGTTAAAAACATTCCATGTTTTAGTAAATAAAATAGTAGCACTTTGAGGTATACTGCAGAGTTCGTAGAATTGAATTGAGCTTGTATTAGATACAACATTTCTAAAGAATAAATTTCAGATTCAGGGCCAGAGCAATCGCACTTCTAGCACGTGTTTTTTATTTACTTGCCATAATATTTTTCATAATGGCCGGCTTTTGCTTGGCTCACGTTAGGCCATAATTCTGACAGAAAAATAAGGATTCAGCTCTCACTAATGTCGCGGGATAAACGTAATAACTACTGGAGCGTAGTGTTCTTTGCCGCTGCCTTATTATTGTTTCTGCAATCTCCATGGCGATTAGCAAACAACTCAACAGTTGGAATCTTCTGATTTGAGCTGATAGTGCTTAGAAGATCACGCGGCCTGCTCCTCTCTCCGCTGCCTCTTTTATCAGATTATCGGCTATGTCAGGCTTTCAGCTAGGCAAATACTATGAGTGTGATCATGCCTGGTGGCATTATGGATAACATATTTTTGGTAAAAGGCAAGATATAAAACCTAAAAATGAACAAACGCATTACAATACAACGATTCTTCGTCTCACGCAACACCTTGCGACCAGTTACCGAATCCAAACAGCAAGTACTCGAACCATCGAAATAGCGGGAATACAATTTGCATGTTTGCGGCTGGTTCAGTGCGCCAAAAGACCTTAGTTTGATAGACAAAATTCACGATTTCAATCAGGCTTCTTCCATAAAAGCTTGGTATCATTCAGAGTTACTCTTGAGGACGTGAATTCAATTGAATTTGTATGTTTCCAGAAATTTATTCATGGTCGTGTATGGCATATAATACGCTAGAGAATGATGAATGAAACAAGTAAATCACAGATATACATTGACAACATCTGTATTAGAGAAAAAAGCCGATGAATGTTAGACAAGTTAAGGAACCCGTTATTGGGTTTTCGTTCAATCCCGCTACCATCGGAAACAGTTTTGATAGATCTGGGAAGATGTACACACC